GTGCGTGCGTGCGTGCGTGCGTGCGTGCGTGCGTGCGTGCGTGCGTGCGCGTGTGCGTGTGTGTTTGGATACTATTGTCATGTACAATGTTTATTAACGAATTTTTTTATTAATGACAAAAGCATCGAAATATAAAATAATTGTGTACTTTAACATAATTTAATTTAATATTAGGAATCAATATTCCTTTAAATTACTTTCATTATTTTGTTTTCTACAATTAAAAACAAAATTTATGAAGGTTACATCACACTGCGCTGATAGCCTCATATAGTCATATGAAGTGCCACCATAACTAATTACTTAGTTGGACGAACCCTGGCTAGAAAAAGAGTACCTTGGCGGCAGGGTTTGCGTTGAGATGCGGAATGAGCGCCTGCAGCGTGTCGAAGCCGGTCTTGATGTTGCAGCGGCGCTTTTGCTCGGCGTGAAGGTGCGCGCGCCGCGGCTCACGCGGACTGCTAGCGCCGCCGGAAGCCGGGGACCCAGGCGGAGACAGGGACTACAAAGTTACATTTTCAATGCTATGTACATTGGACAAATTAATGGAAAACGCAGACCAAATTATGTGCGTACAAGTAAAAAATAAAGTTTTTGCCCTAGCAATGTGTTTTAACTTATCGTGCTCGGGCGTTAATTTAGTCGCGTTTTTCTGCTAGATTTGTCCCTAGCCTTCATGTTCTACAATTTGTTAGGAAATCCGATTCAATGTATCATAAAATAAATCTGAAAAGCTTCCAGAACAATTAACTATACTATATTTTTTCCAAGACGGAATAAAATGACGATTGCAGGTATTCGTAAAATTTTAAATGACTATGTAGTTCATGGCGACAGTTTTATCGATAATGAAAGGAGAAACCATTTTGCATAAACGCATGAAAAGTGAATGTCAACGCGTTGTAACGATTAATCATTGCATTATCACCATCTTTTGTCATATTTTGATAGTTGGCCTATTAATATCGAAATCAATTCGAATACTACAGAGCACGCCAAGCGTAACACTTTAGATTTAAATTCAACTCTATGCTGCAAGCGATAAGAAGGATCCAAAGTAATAAGTGCACGCTTGATGTCTTCATGACTTACAGAGGCACGATCTTAATCTTCCAAGTTAACGTTTATTTCTATTATACAGTTTTTCACATTTTATGTATCTTAATTTACAGTGAAATAAAATAAGTTCGACTTTTCATTACGTGAACGTAACCAATATCCAGTCGATAATCGACCTAATGTTTATTGATTGAAATCCCATGTTGCTTGTAAGCTGGCAACCCCATTGTATATTGCACTGTGACTTTGTTCCGTCTTGAAAACAAGTACTATAGTTTATTAACCAATTTCTTGATTGTCATAATGTATAGTTTTGATATTGTATCCGTTCACTGTTTTAATTCGAAACTAAAATAGATAAAACCAATGTAATTTGAAATTGACGGACCTGATGTGGAGACATGACGTCGCTGCCGATGGGCGAAGGCTGCCCTCTTCGGATTGGGGACTTAGTGGGGTCGCTCGAGCCCACCATATCCTCGTTGCTGCTTAACTTGTACAGGCTTTGTGCTAGACGTCAGTGAAAACGTCAATTTACTAATTTTTTCAAATCACAATATTTATTTCTTTATGATATGCAGGTCATAAAGTTGATGCAAAAATGCATTTTGAATCTCTATGATCGCCTTGCGGTACACAAAGTTTACATAATTCTTACGTCATTTTCATGCAATAATTGGTAATTACACTATAATCATGCAGTCCAATTAATCTCAACCTGATACCAATAAGTCAAGAGGACTGCTAATCTCCATACTACAGATCGTAACTCTGAAAAAGGTCAAAATTACGTCTGACATGATACAAGACGTTATTTTGACCTAAGTTATATCTAGACAAAGCTGATGTATTCATCCTGGAAGTAGTTTATATTATGTAAATGGATATCAATAATTCAATACTCTTTAATACGAAATATAAGAAGTTACTTTTTTTCCTTGTAATATTAATCTTATTTTCTCTTTACTCATTTAGGGGCTATGATCATCGTTGAATTGATCAACAGCAGCCCCATTAAAAAACAATACCTCAAAAAAAAACACACAAAATCCAGACAGATTGTTGGCGCTCTGCGTCTTAGTGTGCTCACACGCATAGCAGCAGCGTCACGGAACCTAGCAGGCGAGCGCGCTCCTCGCGACCGCCATTCCACCATTCAACGCGCTCCCTAAAGCACGTACAATTTTCTGTTCAATTTTACCTAATTATAACGTTTTCTATTATTCACAATATAAGTTTTGTAAGCCGTTGTTGGCTCGTCTACATTATTGAACCTTTGTCATCATTTGCGAGCCGGATCCGCCTGTTTGAAGAAACGAAATTGAAAAAACAAAGAACATAGCGGTGAGGTCATTTCTGCAACAAAGACGTGGACAGTGCCTCAGATTACAAAACATAGGCAGATGGAGCATACGCAACAAACGATGTGAAGCCGCAATAAATGAATTTATTGTGTGAGTGACAACTAGGAGGGGCGCTGTAGCAACATGCGCATTTGTGTACGTGTAAGTTTGCTAGATGCAGCGAAAAAATACCCGCATTTTTAAAATTTAAGTATCGTTCCATTAGTTTATTTTCACTGCCTATTCTGAGTATTTTTCTTCATTTAGTTTAATATACCTATTATTTTTATTGCTTTATCTAGTTTTAAATTATACCTATAGCATTCATATTGAAAGTGATAATTTAATTTCAAAAAGGGATCAAAACATTAAAGAAGTCGAGAGTATCCATCAAATCAAAACTTACAATATTTAAATCCTATTTAGATACACTTTTACCTAGTAAAGAATTAAATGCTTACAAATTTTCGAGTTGAACATCCGATTTACCAAAATACAAGACACGTACAACGATTTCGATTCAACTCAAACTGAAATAGAAAATTTAACTGAAACTTCAGGTGACAAATTTCGAGAACACGAAATTTTCGAGAATAGCTTTTTCAACGCCGTAGCTGCTGCGCAGGAGCTTCTCAGCAGATACATGGCCGGGGCTGAACCCGCCTCTGCGGGTCTGGACAACGACTCGGTGGCGGGCTCTAGTGTTGGTACCTACTGTACATTCAAGTGAGCCAAATATTAAACTACCTACTATATATTTACCGGTCTTTTCTGATCGCGATCAGGATTGATCAGAATACCATGATACATTCGAGTTACTCATACATACGAACACGTCAATACCTAAAATCCATAAATTCCATTATTTGCGCTAGCTCTTTAAAGGAAAGCGCATCACTAATTATCAAGTCTTTGGAATTCTCAACAGAGAATTATGACGTTGCATAGGACCTACTATGTGATAGGTACAATAATAATAGGATTTTAGTCAACAATCACGTACAAGCATTATTCAACGTACCATCAGTAGTTCAGGAAACTTCAAAGGCCTTACGAAACACAACAGACATAATAAACAAAAACTTAAGAGCCTTAAAAACATTCTATCTACCAACAAAACATTGATTGACAGCCTCATAAATCATATGGTTACAAGTAAGCTGGACTCAGCTACGAACGCAACAATATCAAAAACATTCCAAGTTTAGAGGAGTTTAATTCCTTTTTAAAGAACCGTGACGATTTTACGTTTTTAAAGACTTACTTGAAACCATGGAAGAGGCACAATGTAAACCACGCAGACACAGTGGTATCATTCACGTTCGTCAAAAAGCATTGATAGCCAATTATACACAAAATCAAACTTCTTGCAAATATCTTGTTTGCAAAAATAATCATTCTATTTATCACTGTATGAAATTGAAATGTATGCCTATCGAAATACGCGTCGAGACAGTAAAACAATTAAACCTGTGTATTAATTGTTTGCATGCAGGACACAACGAACGACGTTGTAAACTGAGTTCATACAGATTCTGTTCTCAACGTCACAATAGCATGTTACACAATGGTGAAAAATCAAATCAAACGCCCAACACGTCAAATTCTCCACCTAGACCACAATGGTGCGGGAGCAGACCAAATTACGAACACGACAAAATGGTCAGCCAGTGCGTCAGGAAAGCGTCCTCCACACATTACAGTCATGAAGTACTTTCTACCGCTATAGTCAATATTAAAGATTACACTGGCCGTACTCATGCAGCTCGCGTTCTGTTAGACAGCGGAAGCACTTCTAGTTTTATCACAGAAAAAAAACAAACTCAATTAGGAATACCCAGTTGTTCTACTTCTTCACGCTTCACATCATTTCACAAAATTATTAGTATAACACTATCACAAAATTATGTTATACGCTGGACCACAGCTACAGCTATCGACCTTGCGTCATAAGTTTTTGATTGTTAATGGCCGTAACCTTGTTAGGAGGGTTACACATAATTGCATAACATGTCTTAGATTGCCTGGTAAAACTTATTAACCCATTATGGGTAATCTTTCAGAGCAAAGGTTGCATGTAGATTATCCATTCTCAAACACAGATGTCGACTATGCAGGTCTAGTCCTGATTGCGAACATAATGGGTCGCGGCTGCCAGTTAAAGAAATCATACATAGCCGTGTTTGTTTGCTTGGCGGTAAGGGCGGTGCACATAGAACTTATAGCCAATTTGACGTCACAAGGCTTTATTGCCGCTTTAAATCGATTTATTGCCCGCAGAAGCAAGTCAGCTACCGTATATTCAGATAATGGAATGAATTTTGTAGGAGCATGTAATGAACTATCAAACTTTGTAAAAACAACATGTAACGATATAATTTTTTGTTCTTGTTCAGCTAACAATGAAATCAATTTCAAATTTTGTCCAGCGCATAGTGTACATTTTAACGGGTTAGCAGAGAGAGTCAGTGAAACCCATAAAACGCCATTTAAAACGAGTCTTAGCATGGCGTATTTGGATGGTATGAAGAAATGAACACTGTGCTGGTACAAATAGAATCTATCCTCAATTCTAGGCCTCTCACCCCACTTTCATCTGACCCATCAGCTTTAGTCCCTCTTACTCCTGCGTATTTTTTTATTGGACAAACACTCACTATGTTACCCTCTACCCAGGTTGATGAAGCTCAGATCAACACGCTCTCCAGATATATGAGAACACAGGTCTGAAAAGCGCACTTTTGGAATCGTGACTAATGAATCGTTACTATAAAGAATACGTTTCAAAATTGCAAACTCGCAGGAAATAGCGCACTGACGGAGTCGACAACGTCACAAGTGACAACGACAAAGTGGACCGCCTGCCTCCCAACAGATGGCTACATGGTCGGATCAGCGCAGTTCATCCCGGCAGCGATGGCGTCAACCGGATGGCCGACGTCCTAATTACTTCATGGGAACCTGAGAAGGGCGTACAAGAGGCTCTGCCCACTACCGAAGGTGTTAAACGAGGATGGTCCTGTTCCAAGAGGATCAGCTTGTTCGCGCTCTGCGTCTTGGTGTGCTCACACGCATAGCGCCAAGCGTAACGGAACCTACCAGGCGACAGCGCTCCTCGCGGCCGCCGTTCCGCCATTCAACGCGCCCTAAAGCACGTATAATTTTCTGGTCAGTTGTACCTAATTGTAACGTTGTCTATTATTCACAATATTCGTAAGCCGTTGTCTCGTCTACGTTATTGAACCTTCATCAACACAGATCATGAGCTACAAATATTTTCTGAACTTTGACAAGTATGAGTGTCAATAGACGGCATTGTGTGTTACACTAATATATTAACGCTTCTTAATACGAGTAGATGGCGCTAATCCTACACAAAAGTAACTTTTTGGTATTTGTCGCGATATCTGGTATACCAATAAGTACTAAATACTCGTCTACACTTTCTCGTACCACGATTAGCAGCTCTCTTGAGTTATTGGCCCATACTAATACTAATAAAACATAATATCAATAAGTATAACAATAAAATATTGAATAAGTTTACATACTATTACTTCCGCAATAATTTTTTTTTGCAAACGAACATGAACAGTTTCTTACTATCCAACTATTTATTTATAATTTACGGTACGTTAAATTGTATTTATTGCCCTTCAGGGTAAGATCGAGCATTTGTTTTAAAACCGTCTTGTACCACATCAATTAAAAAAAAAATAGAATATATGAAATAACTAAAAATAAAGAAATCTTTTGCAATAAAAAGACATTTGACAAGTATCAGAAATTAAAAGCTTTTCATTATTAATTTAAAAATAATATTAAACTGATAGCGATAACAACGATGAATTGACAAGCGAAATTCTATATATTGACTAAAAAATAGTCAACCGTGACCATGGGACCTGTAAAGGGCCCGAAACGTCGGTTTGTTTGAGAAAACAAATATACGCGATTTAATTCCGGAAAAATAGTTTCATTTCCTAAGCGAAATTAGTTAAAAAATAAAATATTATAGGCATTTCAGAGTAAGAAACAAACAATTATATCGGTTTGTGCCGTCATGCGTCTATGGTGCGGTACAAGCTACATACTATTACTTCCGCAATAATTTTTTTTTGCAAACGAACATGAACAGTTTCTTACTATCCAACTGTTTATTTATAATTTACGGTACGTTAAATTGTATTTATTGCCCTTCAGGGTAAGATCGAGCATTTGTTTTAAAACCGTCTTGTACCACATAACGCAATAAACTTTTTTTTATAACACCAAGTGACGAGACTAACAAGTCGTGCGCCTGGTGGTAAGGGACATGCCTGTGAACAGTTGCAGTGCCACTCAGAGCTTTAAATCGTAAAGATCTTAGGGGCACTGCCACTGCACCCGTCACCCTGATACATAAATTGACAAGTCCCCATGTGCCTGTAATTTCACCAGCACCCTTACCTTTCCAAACCGGATTCCAGTAATGCTCACATTACTGCTTGGCGGCAGAAATAGGTAAGGTGGCTGTACTTCTCTGGACAAACTCTTCCACCAGAAGCTATACTGCCACTAACGATATGACATCTGACAATAGCGGACTTTACACAGACACTCTGCCCCTTCGGTACAATCGATCTACTTTCCCGATCGGTCCACTTTCACTATTCGTCTACTTTCCCGATCGGTCCACTTGTTTTTCCCGATTCATCTATTTCCCATTTCGTCTACTTTGCTGTTTGGTCTACTTTACCATTTGAGCAGTAGACGAAACGGGAAAGTATTCCCATTTCGTCTACTTTCCAGATCGGTCTACTTTTCCGATCGGTCCACTTGCCCAAATGGTCCACCTAAGCATATAAATTATATAACCACATAAGCATGTAAATTAATAAAATTTTACAAAAAATAATCCGTTTTACAAATTTTCAAAGGCAGTTTGTAATTACGTAATTGCAGATTGTCATGGAGTACATTTTTCAATATTTTTAATAGATGGCCGCTTTACGTTAATCATGATTTGAAAAATCAAAATCAAATGAACAGTTTTTAACCGACTTCAAAAAAGGAGGAGGCACTCAATTCGACAAAATTTTTTTTTATATATTACGCGATAACTCTGGTTATTTGTGAACCGATTTTAATGATTCTTTTTTGTTGGAAAGAGTTTGCCTCAGTAGTGATCCCATTTCAATTTGAAGTAAATATTCCACATCTAAGGGTGGCAAACTAGGGAGTCAATCCGGTTTCGCGCACTTTCTGGTAACCGATTTCAATAAAACTTGGCAAATAGACATAATTCCACAAACTTCTGAGGTCGGTTTTTTTTAGTACTCTGTACTGAGGTTATCTGAGTAGAAGCATCATTAAAGTAGATCTATCGGGAAAGTAGACTGAGCGGGCATGTAGACCAAATGGAAAAGTAAACCAAACAGGAAAATAGACCAAATTGGTTGTCACTAGCGACAGTGTAAATTACTTCACAATTTTGTATGGCAATTTATATAGCACCCTTAGCGGTCGCAAGAAGAATATTTGTATACGTTGTTTTGTATACAAATATTGTTAGTAGCAGTAGATTATTAAATATATGTATATAGTGAAGACTTTTCCATTGGGGGCGGGTAGATTTTGACATTTCATACCGACCATATTGTTGAGGCTGCTTTTGTCAAATCTGTTGTTTATATTTCAGTCACTAAAGACATCCTCATCATGGCAAGTTACAGTGTCGAGCGTCACATGCAAATGATAAAAATTTATTACCAACATGGGTGTACTATTGTGGCAACGATGCGACCAGTCAACTTACGTCTCAGGGTGTCGGGCGAAGTGGCAGTGCCTCTCAGACCTTGGCGATTTAAGGCTCTGAGTGGTACTGCAACTGTTATGGACAGACGTGGTGTTTGCCATCAGGCGCACGAAATGTTCGTCTCGTCACTTAGTATTTATATATTGGTACATGTAAAAACGAAGTTCAGTTAATCTTGAGAGTATCCATGTGAGTTAATTGGCACAATAAAATCTTGAAATGTATATTTGTCAAACAAAGTACCAGTTATATCGCTTGGCAAGCTGGTTGGTAACAATTTTCATAGTAACTATATCATTATAGTCGATAAGAAAGATCTTTCATCTAAATAATCTCACGCTCATTTAGACAAAGATAGAAATGAAGAAGTTTGTATATCTGCAGCGAGATAAAAAGTAGGATACTAACAATGTTGCGAGGACAGAAGCTGTGCTAGCATGACACTGGCCTGCGGTAGTGTGGGCTCGGAGGCGACGGTATTGAGCGGTGGCGGGCGGCGCGGCGAGGCACTCGCAGGCTCGCCCAGTGTGCTGCCCGACGATGAACGGGAGCGCACGCGCATTGCGCCTGGGGCTGTGTCACGGGCCTATTACAATTGAATCTTTATGACGATTTGAACGTTCGAAATTCCTAAACTTCATAGTATCACTAAAGTTTGTTTAGTAATCATGTTACTTACATAATCTTAATATCTGAGATGGCCTCGGGAAACCAGCTCTGAGCTTGATATTAATTTCTAGGGGCTGACGGTAGGGACATTTTAGAATTTAAATTGTGAAGTTGTTATACCCTGGCAGTAAGCCTCTGGGCTACATCGTGCTGCGTAGGCGCAGGTGCGGCCTGTGTAGAGGGCGCCGGCTGCGAGGGCGCTGGTGCGCTCACCGACCAATCAGGGTTGAGCTGTGCGCCCAGCGGCAGACTGATTGACCGGAACTGCTCCTTACCGCTTCCACGAACCGTCGACACACCTCCGCTCACATTCGTCACCTGCACCTAAACATGTTACACACGTAGTAACATCACGATAGATATTAACAAATGAAACATTTTTGATAAAATATGTATTTGATGTTTTCAGTATGTGTATTTCAAGAAAATCGAGTTTGAACATCGCAGCCAATGTAATAGGGGTTAAAGTATGAAATTGCCGATTTGTACTGAAAATCTAAATTGTTTATTTTTTAAATTTTTAACAAATTTATTTAATCAAAATAGTTGCCATTATTATCTATACATTGCTGCCATCTAATGGGAAGGTTATTAATGCCTTTGCGATAGAACTCCGACGATCTAGACTGCACAAACTGTGTGAAAGCATTTTGTACTGCCTCCTGGGAAGAAAACTTCTTGTCACGTAGATAATTGTCCAAATCACGAAAAAAATGGTAGTCCGTTGGAGCAAGGTCTGGTGAATACGGAGGATGACGAATGGTTTCTAACTGCAGTTCCTGAAGGGTCAAAATGGTTTCTCGTGCTGTGTGAGGTCTCGCGTTGTCGTGGAGCAATAATGGTGAAGATCGATACATGAGTCGGGGCTGTTTTACTGCTAGTTTTGTCAACATGGTTCGGAGTTCGGCACAATAGACATCTGCCGTTATTGCTTGACCAGATCGGAGAAAACTATAGTGAATAACACCATGCTGAGACCACCAAACAGTTACCATTACCTTTTTATTGGTAAGTTTTGCTTTAGGACACTGTTGTGGCATTTGACCTGGGGTCAGCCATTGCATTTTTCTTTTCCGGTTATCATAAAGAATCCACTTTTCATCACATGTTACAATTCGATCCAATATTCCTTCATTTCTGTACCGGTTCAACAAGGCAACACAAGTTTCAACACGCGTTTCTTTCTGCAGATCAGTCAAATCATGAGCCACCCATTTTTCGTATTTTTTTATTTTATTGATTTGACGCAAGTGAGTCAATATTGTGGGTAAGGTAACGTTAAACCATGCCGCTAATTCCTGGGTAGTTTGACTAGGATCGGCTTCCACTATCTCTCTTAATTCATCGTTATTCACCTGTGTGGGCGGTCTTCCTCGTGGCTCGTTCTTTAAGTCGAAATTTCCATCACGAAAGCGTTTAAACCAAAATCGCACGGTGCGTTCATTAGTAGACCCCTCTCCAAACGCAGCATTGATATTGCGGGCTGTTTCTGCCGCGTTAGTTCCGCGTCGGAGCTCGTATTCAAAAATCACTCGAATTTTCGCAGTATCCATCTTTCTTGTCTAAATTGAATAACAAAAACAATTGAAAGTCGATATTCAAATTTAAAAAAAAAAAAATCACAGAAACCATTTGAAAAAAGTTTCATTCGAAAACCTCAAACCATGAAGATTCTATGAAAATTCAAAGAACCTATTGCAATGAAACGGCAATTTCATACTTTAACCCCTAATACAATGTACGGATAACGGCACATCAGACTACACAGTTTTGTTCGAAAATCGCCTCCAGTGCAACGGAACAAGATACGTCAATGTGTAGCTTGATGTGCTGGCGTGTGTACATACATACGTGTGTAATAAAAATATTTAAAAAAACCACGTGTTTTTGTTTAATAAACCAGATACTACATAAATGACACAAACAATTTTTTTCTTCATCCTGTAATGTTGTCAAAATTAAGATAGTACCAATTACCGAGTACCGATTGCCAGTTCACGGTCGATATGCGGTAGCTTAATTAGATAATTAATTTTTCACTACAATACATTGACAAAAATCGTAATATTAAAGTCATAGGTATGTCTATATGTATAAATAAGGTCTTGGAAAGTCTAAACCTATCTGATAAAAATGTGTGTAATCAAATATATCATGCGCGGTCACCGTGGGCGTTGGCAAACTTTGCCTCCGAATTTGCGCCCGTCACGACCACGCGCAGCCTCCATGGACACACCTGCCGCTATAATATCTATGATAAACAAATCCCCGTGTGTAATCTTTATTATTGACACTAAGTACTAATTCTGACTCGGTATTTATATCTGTATGTAAGCAAAGACAGATATGCTACGATTGTGAAAGAAAATCTAAAATACCTATAAATAAACGTATGATTGAAAACTAATATTAGCACAGATTATCCGATGTGACACATCATTGCGTAACTTTATTGAAGAATATTTAATTTCATAGAAATGTAAAATAAAACGCAAAAAACAATTTTAGATTTTAAGCCAAAAATCGTGCCTTGAAAACGCAGCAAGTGTAATGGTGACAAAAAATAGCGGGTTTTTGTAGTTACAGTTATTTACCCGAATTATTTTTTAAGTATATTACGTTTTGAGTTTCTTAATTATTTCTGACCTTCTTAAGCTGATGGATCTATAATCAATGCTCTATAAATAAATCATAGAAAAATTTGTGTTACTTGACGTCATTACTAGTTGTTTAATAATAATAATACTCGTCGAAACACGCCATACTGCATTTACTTGACTTAGGTCTGTAAATGCGGTCCAAACCAGCTAACAAGCTGAGAAGACTAAAGATAATAATAATAATAATAACATAGACACTCAACATAGCCCCACACAAGGGAAACTCTCCATGGACACACACATCGACAACCACAAATTACAGTCAAACTCACGAGAGAAATAAATGTAGGCCATACAAATATTTCTCCCGGCCCGGGAATCGAACCTGGGACCTCTACGTGGCATGTCAACCGTTCGGCCAACGAGGCAGTTAGTTAGTAGTCGTTTGCGTCATGGCACAACATCAGACATAATATAGGCTTGTGGCGTGATACCATATGAGCTAGCCCGTGTCAACTTATTTTACCTTCGTGCTCACGTACAAAATATTACAATGAAATTATAGGTTTATAAGAGAATACAGAATAATTAACCGTAATAGAAAATTTGAGACTTCTGTCTATATGTCTAACGCATTTATAGCCCATCGCACGTACTTTTTAATTTTTTTTTTATAGTAAATGTCTGGTGGTAAGCGACACGCCTGACCCTAACAATTGCAGAGCCACTAAGAACTTTAATCACAAAAATCTAAGGGGCACTGCCACTGCGACACCCGGAGACATAAGTTGACAAGTCCTATGTGCCTGTAATTTCACCAGCACCCTTACCCTTCAAAACCGGAACACATTACTGTTTGACGGCAGAAATAGCAGTGGCAGGTGGCAGTAATTCCCTGGAAGAACTCTTTCACACGAAGCTCTAAACTCTTACTTGTTGTGATGGTACGGGTGCAAGTGATGAGGGTATCTTGAAAGAGCGCGCATTTATAGTCGTTGATTTGGGCTTGTACTCGGCCGGTGCCGGCGCTAAGTACTGTATCTGCGAAGATACAGGTCGCGCATTGTGTTCGTACCCTGCCGGAACTTGTGACGACCCGCTTTGCATTTGCTGCGCATAACCCTGTAGCACACAGAATAAAAACGAGTCAACGCACAATGTGTTTTAAACGGATGAGGGCACGGTCCCATTATGTCGTAACGTTTTATTTATCATTGGACGACTGTCGCGTCTAGCCTGTTTCCCATATCACGACTATCTGTCGTGACTGTGTCGTGGACGTTTATTTTATCTTTGAACGACTGTCGTGTCTGCTGTTCCCACTAGATAGTGACGATCATTTGTCGGTTCACTGCAACCGCCGTGTCGTTTGCAGGACAGAATCGTTTAAAGCTGCGATTATGTATCGTCATATTTTTATTGCGCCGTTTTATATATCGTTCTGACGACTGTCGTTTGTCACGATATTCTGTCGTCGTAACGTCAAAAAAGTCGTGAACGACAATTAGTCTTGTTGTTCTAAGTGTGAACAACTTCATTTAAATATACAAGGCAAGACACTTTAAACTGCACGACTATTTGTCGTCAGGACATAATGGGAACGCGCCCTGAAATAGAACGTTTCTTTGTATTTATTCTTTAAAAACAATTTTTTAATTTAATCACACACTTTTGTTACTCCCCATGCAAACTTTGATCTTTAGTTCTATGGATGTGTTTGGGAATGGAAACTTTTTTGTGCGATTTCATACTACGAAATAAAACAAATTAAATTTAGTGGCATAAATTGATAACCCTAGTCAAACCCCTATTCTTACATACTTGATTATAACTATAATAATAACACTCATAGCCCCGCACTAGGGAAACCCTGTTCACAGGTGCCATGGACGTACACATCGACAGCTACAAATTACACCCAAACTCACGTGAGAAATAAATGCAGGCCACACAAATATTTCTCCCGGCCCGGCAATCGAACCCGGGACTTCCATGTGGTAGACCAGCATGGTCACCGTTCGGCCACAGAGGCAGTTAACTATAACATATATCGATGACGAGGAAGTTAAAAATAAATAAGCCCACCTGATAATGTGTATTAGGCAGTTGATTCGAGTAGTGCGCTACTCTTGACTTGGGCTTATCGCGATTGTACACGTTGCGGCCATGGATGACGATGGCGGAAGCGTACTTCGCATTGTGCACAGGAGCCTGCAGCAGCGAGACCGTCTCTGGCGCCGTTTGCGACGGTGGTATGCCTGATAAAGATAGTGTTTTGTAACACTTACAAACCACCGTCAATCATATATACCAAATATTCAGACCCAAGCAAAAACGCCCTCAGTTTTGTACGAAAATCATATTTTTTTAGATTGGTCATTACAATACATAGCGCTAAATTGGAATGCAATATTTTCATTACAATGATCATAGGAATAATATTGTTCAGGCCTGAATACCTAAATAGTAGCAATAGAGCTCATTGTGAAAAAGTTCGTCCAGGGAAGTATTGCCATCTTACCTATTTCTGCCGCCAAGCAGTAATGTGAGCATTATTGCTTCCGGTTTTCTAGGGTAGGGATGCTGGTGAAATTACAGGCACATGGGACTTGTCAACTTATATCTCAGGGTGACGGGCGCAGTGGCAGTGCCTCTCAGATCTTTGCGTTTAAAAACTCTGAGTGACACTGCAACTGTTATGGACAGGCATGTCGCTTACCACCAGGCCCATGACTTGTTCGTCCCGTAACTTGGTATTATATAAAAAAACCTTCACATAATATGTATATTTTAATTTATAAGGGGCCTTAGGACGTTACACCTATAAGACTTTATTCGAAAAAAGAGCATCCGTTTCCTTTCTGGTCCTGTATTATTAATAATAATAACGCACACAGTCATAGCCCCGCACTAGCGAAACCCTGTGTCGCGGGTGTTATAGACACACACACAGACAACCACAAATTACACCCAAACCCGCGAGACAAATAATGTAAGCCATACAAATATTTCTCCCGGCCCGGCAAACGAACCTGGGACCTCTACGTGGCAGTCCGGCATGGTAACCGTTCGGCCACGGAGGCAGTTAATTGTATTGTTGTTGTTAGTTGTATTGTTTAGTTGCATTAACCCTGTGCACTTCGTATCATTTTTAATATTTTATTTAATAAAACGGGATGTGTTTCAATCGCTAATGAATATGATTCGACTATCAGAGGGAGTATGTACCTATAAATATTCTTCTCGATCGCACATTTCAAGACGCAAATGAGTGAGAAGAGCGTCTCTTGCTGGATAAATACAACGATGTCTCTCGTGTTATTAGACCTAACATGGTAGATATAAAAATTACCTTAATAAAAAAATATAGCCCGAAAGCAAACGAACTATGCGTAGATAAGCTATCAAATATTGTCTGATTAACTCTTACTGTTATCAAACATATTAATCTATTGTAACACAGTTTGAGTAGACCATTCTGATGATTGAATTCCAAATTTTTTGCTTTTTCGGTAACAACAAAGAATATGTAACATGAATAAAATTTAATAATTAATGAACAAACCTGTATTGTACTTCGTATATCCCGTTTCTTGTTGCGTAGTCATTTTTGGTGATGTGACGTACTGTACACGGGACATCTTAGCGTTATACGCTGAACTTTGTACGGTATCTTGCGTCTGCTGTTCGTAAGACGTCGCCGTATACAACAGTTCTTGGTTTATCATATTTTCGGGCAAGTCAGTTTGAGCAAATAACCGACCGTTGTCATATATCCTCATTTCATTCTTTATGCCATGCTCGGACATCGGTAGCATTTGCGTGTCATCCACTGCGCCTAACAACAATTGCTTAATTTACATATCAAATCGTGTTCATTAAATTGATTGAACCTGATTAAATAAATAAAAAAACTTTTGTTAAATTTCAAGACAAATGTCTTAAAGGGAGAAAATAAACACAGTCCTCAAAGTTAGTTACTCACTTGTGATTCATGATTTTTACAGTGCACTTAATAAACATAGCAAATAAAATCACATGCACCTTGAGCCATACCATGGATGGACATCTGGCTAGTTGGCATCGTGACAGTATTCTGGTTGCCGGTCATGTAGCCCTGAGTAGAGTAAGAGTCCACGGACATGCCACTCCGGTACAGCGGGTCATCAGCGGGCAGAGTGCTCTCTTCGGGCACGGGAGGCAATCGTGGTGTCGATAGGAGCTCTAAAAATAAGACGAAATATCAATCATATACAAACAAATTTAGTTCCATGACTTTTTTTACAAAACAATAAATTTACCAAAAATATACATTTACATTTTTGTTCGACACTTTTTAGATCTCTATTTGGTAGCAAGATAGTTAGTTCAAACGTGCAAGATCCTCCCAGATGTCCCTCGCTCCTGCGTTTTACATTGCACTAGTATTTACGCTAGCGAAAGTAAAATCTTATGAATTATTAAAACTCATGGAACAAAAGTTGTTGTTTTTGTGTTAACAATATAGTTCTGCTATAAATATAGATATAGTTATTAGTATTTTACAAATAACCCTGTACAGGTACAATGACAGAGTACCATTTCGAAAACTATCTTTTGCCTTTTTTACAATCGAGTTACACAACGCGCTAGGCTAAAGGATAAAGACGCTAATATCAATGCAATTTTAAAAACACGTCGACCAGTGAACGAAGAATGTCGACCAGATATCAAGATTCCGATTCTCACCTTGTAAGGGTTCCAATGTGTCCATAAAATCGTCAAGGTTAGGTTGCAACGGACCTAAGCTTGGTTGAATAAAATCAGCCAAACCAGCCCCTTTAGCTGAAATTTATAGAATTAATCAGATGTGTTCAGGAATAAAACATAAAAGTATTATTGTGAAAAAAATTAAGAATTTCGAGACTAACTCCTGACTCGCGTCCCTTCTTTAGAATCCCTTCTTTAGAATAGAAATCTGTTATATTAAAAGTAGTTTAACATAAGAAACAAATACCGTAATACATGCGTTTTATATAATAATTAATAATTATGTTTGTTACTTCTGCTAGATTCTTTCGAAAAGCAAATAAAAAACTAGACGCAAGTACGGAAGCAAAAATATTCAATTATACAGACAGCACATCAAGCTACATCTTGACGGATTTTGTTTCATTGCACTAGAGGCGATGCTCAAACAAATTTGTACAGCTTGATGTGCTGATGAGTGTACATTACAGTTACTAATTGTCATTTAATAAATGTTCAAGAGGTACCTTGCGTTGAATTCAGTGCAAACTGATTTCAACATTTCCCTGCGACCGCGTCCGTCACACACGTTTACTAGATCTTTTTATATTTTTCTCTTTTTCACATAATTATCTAATTTCTGTAATTTTTTTTTGTTTATGTGTGTGAAAAACTAGATGGGTTAAAATGGTACCTATTTCCCTGCAGTCTGGGAAAGCGAAAGGTTGGTGATTGGTGATAGTGGAGAACAAAGTGTCACTCATAAAGTTGAGGTAGTCCTCGTCGGTCAACATGTTTCCCGCGAGGTCGCTGCATTGCGACTCCACTGTGTCCATGTCCAAAATCTGAAACATCTTTTCGTAAATTGGTCCATTTTAAGCGGCATCAATCTACATACATCAAATAAAAACACAATTTAGTAATAGTCATTTTTTTATAATTATCTACTCATTTAGGAGGCAAATTTCCTACAGAAAAACAATCAAGACACTCCATCAGTATAAGTTTCTAACAATTCGCTTCCATTCCGTTCCTTCGCAATATAAATTGAGTCTTAGCACGGAAAGTAGAAATTAAGATTCAGAAAGAAAAGTTAAAGATTCGTTAGTTTTATTATAAATTTTGTGTCACTCTGTGTAGTAAATACAGTAAACAGGTAACATCTCATAATTAAAGTGATATAATGGTGAACTAAAAATAGAATAACGAAATAATAACAGATCGAAAGTTTTGTTATGTTATAGACGTTTCGGTCCTTGACCTCTATAATGGTTGACCTGTGCTATTTCAGGTACTTGGCAACATTTAGACATTTGTTTACAAAATAGCATACAGTTCGAGGGCATCACGTCTAGTTAATTTAATAATACGGACAAATCGGCAGTTTACCAAAAACCAAAGACATTGTCTTTGGCTCTCGACCGAAATATATCAAAATTGTAAAATATACATGAAAATTTACCGTATCCTGGACAGAGGTGTCCCCCTTCCCGAGGAGCCTCATAATATGAAACATGCGCCATTTTTTATATTCTGCTTTGACAGCCTCTGCTCTTCTTTTCCAATATTTCCCTTCCAATATTGTTGCCTGAAAATCGACTCCTGAATTATGAATTCATGCCATTTAGAAGGTAAATAACAATTTGGCGCAAAATTTAACAATCATTCTACTCGTTTTTTTAATTTATAAGTTTATTCCATACGAACAAGAAATTCAGACAGATTTATATCATTCCATATTCGCCTCTTGCTTTTTCACAAATTTAGCGCTAGAGAGGCGCAAATATGTTAAATCGTTACTTTACCTCTGGTTTCACGTGTGTGTCAACATCCAGCGGGGACGCGAACTGACACACCAAAGTATTTTGTTTCTTTATAACTGGAATAAAAACAAGTAATACTACTAGATGTTTTTTTTTTCTTTTTCTTAGTCGTAAATCAAGAAGTTAATTTAAAATACCGATTTTAGATAATCAAGCAAAAAGTACAACGCAATTCTATGCGACAGTGTCACTAGAACATTACAGCTTAAACGCTTAACAATTATTTGCATAAACTTTAGAACTGTAAAATTGAAATTAATTTAAAATTGTATTATTGTCATAAATAATTAATAAATTATTTGTCGCAATATATGTAAAATGATGTTTTAGTAAGTAATCGACCACTAGTGTTATTAAGTGTTCGGAGCTAATAAACAGTTTCAATGAAAAGTTGCATCATAAACATTTATTAACACATAGAATGCTTTTCACTTCACTTTAAAAATTTACCCATGGCAAATACTTATTCATGAGAATTAGCGTGATCTAGACGGAATTATAACTGTGTAGGTCCTCAGCAGTTCATACAATAAACAACGTCTCAATTGCGAATACATCTCATTTACCGAAAGCTGAAATATAAATAAATACTAATTGTAGTAGTGTATATTCACAAAGAACAACCCCTAATTTCTTATTTACTAATCGATTCATTCTAACTGAGTATCTCCCTTGCCATTAAATGAGTAGTAGAGTTTAATAAATGTGACGATTTCAAATGTGTAGGTAAGTATTTGCTTAACTATAAAATAAACATATATTTGAATATTCGCCTGCAGCATTTCTGTTATATGGACACCTTTTCCAAGTCATTACAGCTCCCATCCCACCATCCAACCCATCATTAGAACGTACTAGAATGGGCCTATAATCATTAGGAGTTAAAGTATGAATTTGTAGTTTTAAAGTTCTGGCTAAATACGAAATTAAATAAAGCCTTGTTAGTGTAAGATTGTAATAAAAAAAAATTAAATATAATTTTAAACCACATAATGGATAATGGATGCATCCGCTTTGTAATCTAACTTGGATGCTGCTAAATTTGTTTAATTTTCGAATACTAATCCCAACGTGGCAAACGGTTTATGGAGCGGGTACTATTAGTAGTACCCGCTACTACGTATACTTTCGTTAGCGAAAGTATTGTGCATTTTCGGTTAGGGCGATTAGGCAGTACAAATTTTAACACGATAAATGCACCTCATGGATAACTTACTCTGAGATAAAATCGAAGACCCAAAATGGAAACAAAGGTGATGGATACCAATACAAAAAAAGATTTTAACAATAGTGGCTAAGTAAAAAGGTTTTTTTTAAATTAATGTAAGATTTTATTTATGTGTGCATGAATGTACAAATAAAATATTATCAAATCATAATTTTTATTTAAACCCACACTAACAAAACTGATTCTAGTGGAAAGATCTTTTATCCTATTTTGTATACTGTAGTACCATTATCTCACTATCAGCTTTATTATAATAACATAACGGTACATTATTTTTGTCCGTAAAGAAACACTACAAGATTTCCCTTGTCCAACCAACATAAAGTGCATCCTCGAGTTGTCCAAGACATTTTAAAATTAAAAAAAAATTTTTGGCAATAAACTAATTTAAAACTGTAAAATGTTTACCTTTTTTGTATTTTTCTTTTCTTTATTTTAACTAATTGTTTATTTATTTTTAATTTCTTATATAACCCCTGTCTAAAACTACACTGCTTGCATTAAGTCATTAATGTACCTAAAAAGTTTACTAACAACCCTGTTTTATTAGGCTAAGCTTTGTGTTGTCCTGTGATGTTGCAACTGTGTGCTTTGTTTTAGATACAACCGCTTCGAGTCTCACAGACAGCAGTAATGGTCAAAATTATATTTGAAAACAAATCCACTCCTCCCATGTAGAGACTACCTACGTGACATTGGCGGATTTATGAAAGATACAGAACAAGCCACTAATAAATAAAGAAGAAGAAACACTAATATAGAAAGTGAAAAAAAATGTAAATTTAATACCATGGCCTACTTCCAACACTAATCTTGTAATCAGCTACCTATCTGTTGATAAAATTGACTGTTGCTCGTGTAGAATTGTGTAGGTGATTATTCAACATATTCACCATTTTTAGTCTCATCATCATGGTCTCAGATTAACATCAAGTATAGCAATTATTGGATCTTAATTTAAGGTACGTTCTGTTTAACATAATTTATCTTTTGAAGAAATCGGTGTTTTGGAAATAAGTAGTAGGAGTTGGAGTAGCCTTTGGTATTATTTCGTAATGCAATAGATTGTATCTACAAAGTATGGTTCTAAATATAAGTAATGATAACTTACTTCACTATGATAGATCTTTAACGTAAATTAAGTTTTAATCCAAGTTTTCCTAGAAATTACTTATACTTATTTGGTAGCTATTTGCTATTTCAATCTCTGTGCTATAAAACAACTTAATTTCGAGGCAGTACCTTAAATTAAGGCGACGAAGTCGATTTTGTTAAATTAAATTGAAAAGGATGTTTTTGTCATTGTCTTGCTGTTGTGATTTACATGTTAAGGAGTTAATATTATCTTTAAAAGTATCTATATGCAATAAATTGTACATATATCAATTATACTTAACAAAACAAAGCAATGTAGAGATGTTTTATTACAGCTTGGAAATATGTTTAGTTTTTAATATTTCGAAATATATTTAAATCTTAACAGATATAAATTGTCTAGTAAGCTGGCAATAAAGTGGCACTTATAGTCACCACATTTAGCTAATTAAGTAAATTATTGGTAATAAATACATTCATAAGTTATTATAGTACGTGTTCATAAGTTATAGTAAAATTTCTTCATGAAATGTAGTAGTAGTGAGGAAAAAATCTTATAACAATACATAGTTACATAAACACAAATTATAATAATTTAACTACTGATATAACAATCTGTATGCCAACAATATCTGGATGACACTGCTAATTTATAAATCCTATTAATATCCCTGTTCCAATAACATGTACATACTTAGGTCTCCATAAAATGTGTACTTCACTAGTGAGAGCAGTATCAATAATAAATGACGGAATATTCCCAAGTATCGTAGGACAAACATAATCAAAGCATCCTTACATTGCATGTGCCAGCATCTCCATATAACGTTGTTCAATCTGATCTTGTCCTTCCACCGGAGTTTTATACCTTTGAAACGATTCCATTTTGGTGATGTTAGTTTTTGTCTGAGAATTATAACAGAGAAACAAGTGAATGGAAAAAACTCACCATGCTCCTATCTCCAACTTGTCACAAACAAATGTTAGCCAAAAGCACTTTCATAATTAAGTTGACTATAAAAGTCCTTGAACTCATAAGGAACATTTTTACTTTAAAAAAATTTAAATTCGACATTATTAACAGGTAAATGAAATTGTATACTTTAAAGTATAAGCAAGTACAGCCAAAGCAACAAAACTGTACTGTGGAAAAGTAGACCTGTCAGACTATCAAATGATAAGTGTCTTATCTGTCTATCAATAAGTGATCTTAAGCTTATAGCAAATACCACTTGATAAGAAACAAACCTGGTGCATCTTATCTACAGTTTCTACAAATACAAGAAATAAAATTAAGATACTTGGGCAGCATATCATCTAAAATACCACGTTTTTATTATGATACCCCTGGGGCAATTAAATCATACATACTTGTTTTAAATCTACTAAAGAGTAAAAAACACATTTAAGATCGTTTACAATTTATTTAGCCTTGCTGATGTTATCAGACAGGGCAAGCGATAATAGCAAGAGATAATATAACATAATTTTATGCAATTTTTGGTTATGGCATTGAAATTAATGGACTGAAGAAGACTGAACTCAATGACAATCAATATCAGTTTAGGATGAATATTTTAATAGCTAATTCACAATTTAGTGCACTTGTTTACATTACATACACTTACCTAAATATTTAATTAAAAACTTGTAACCATAAAACCCATTTATATAAAGTTTTAATAGTATCAGTGGAATGACCAGATATAAAAATTAAACGCATGAGACAAGATGAAACTAAGCGTTTATAGACTTATCTTAGAATTTGACCCATGTCTTTGGTAAGGCCCCAATGACCTCCTCTTATCTCTGCACACTAAATCAGTGGAATTATATTACATTTCCTCATTTTTATTAACTAACTGTCTTATTAGGAAAAGATATAAAGAACTACACAGGACGATGTAGATATATGTAGATATGCAAATGTCATATATTCATGCAAATAATGCATTAGTTGATCAGATAATTATACTTAATGAAAGACAAATGTTTAGAAAAACGAAAAACTAAAAACCAATAACCTATGATATTTGTATTATCCTACAAGTAAATTATAAATAGCTACATAGCAATGCCTGTTACAAACATGATTAGAACAGATTAACAAGATCATAATGATCTATAACAAAAGTAAACCCGATGGCACCATCTTTTCTTGTTCTGAAGGTCAATGCAGTATACAATGTCTATAGAAATGTAAATGAAAGTACCTCTGCTCAAAACAGAATCAGTCTCATTTTTTTACTCTAATGTTCAGAAATTCAAAATAAGATACCTAAAGATAATATCTTCCAGATAAGGATAATACACTTACCTGTAAGCTAGAGTCATACATTTGAACAACTTTGTAAGTGATATCTCAATTGAAAGCTGCTGAGGTTGTTTACTTTCTTCTACATTAGAAGGCGCGAACTTCTCCACCGCCCCGGGAACTGTGTATGTCGTCACAACAGATACCTTCTGGACATTTTGCTCCTCATCAGGTACAGGTACTGCTAAGTCGTCAAATTCATCTTGAGCCTCAGCTTCGAAGTGCGACACCATAAAATGCCCAGAATGTATGGTTTCCTTCCCTGGTCGAGCCTGACGCTTTTCCACGTGTGTCATCTTGATGTTATGTTTAGAAAAGTAATTCCAGGGAATATTTTTATATTAGTATTCAACGGTAGCAATCTATCAACTTTTACACTTGGCCATATTTTTACTTAACACTTCATTCACATTGTTTTTTTCCATTTGACAATGTCCTCTTCTTAATTTTTTGACTTCTCGAGGAAAGAGTTTGAGCCAACAAGTAAACAATACGCCAATTTTTGTAGTTATTTTGTAAACTGTAGTTGAGGAAACTTTTAAGGATAAAAGGAAATGTTTTTGAAACGAACTAAGGAAACAAGGATCAGGACATTTGACAATTTAATTGTCAGCACATTGTCAGTGACAAACAAACAAAATAATGCTCCATCAATTTCCGGACCATAGACAAAATTCTACGAAAGTGTAGGTATTGTCTTTTTCATTTGACATCATTTTCTTCATTTTTTTTATAATTTTTTAAAGAGTTTTGGCTTGGAATCTAGTACTTTGAGCCAGTCTTCGTTTAATTAACAGGATACTCGGTAATATTATCCATTGTAGTTCTAATACATTATGTTGTCAATTTGTCCTACATAACTTAGTTCGCTTATTTGGGTTTTTCACTTTTAAGCGGCGGAAGTCAATATTTATGTTTTCACTTTCACATTAAAGCACATTATCTTCTATCACTTTGAACAAAAACTTTGAATTCGTAATCAATATAAGTTTCGAGATAGTCTTTTGTAATTTGGTTTAAGATAAGGAATATAGTTCTAACTTTCTTCATCACTATTTCTGTCTTCATTTTTTCTTCGTAATATACTTAAAATAAAAATAATCTTTGTAAAGACTACTTGCTTGTAACTACAAAAGCCCGCCATTTTTTTCATTTTCACCTTGAGATTTGAAGTTTCTAGAGATGCAGTAATGTAAGATCGAATGAAAAAAATCGACTTAAATATCTCATCGAGATAATTTGTAACGAAGAAAGATTCGATTTACAGAAAATAACTTATGAAGAAATAATAAATAAAATAAAAACGATTCAATTATTATATCATAAAGGTACGTGTTAAGGTACCAAAATACTACATAACAAATAAAAAATCAACAATAACGTAATAAAAAGTGAACAACAAAGCATGAAACCAGCTGCAACGAAACGAAATTTGAAGAATTACTCCAAAGACATCACGCAATGTTCAGAACAAAAGAAAATCGAGACGAATTTTATTTTCCCAATACGTTGTAGTATGCACTCATATTGACGCGAGATAAGTGATAACCGATTCGATTTATCGATGTTATGGTGTAAATATCTACGGATAAATATTCCGTTTTACGCATCAAGCAATTGCAGTAATTTATTTTTATTATCATTTCATTCATTTGTCAATGTCAAGTACTTTTTTTCGTATTATAGCTTTGCGTTGGGCATTTAGCCAATGTCAAAGTTAGGAAAACCGGCCGGATCGAAAGCATTTTTTGTAAGTGTTCGATCTTTGTCTTAATAAATATAACAAACTAGTGGATAATTTCTCATAAATAATAATTGAACATCAATTCTATAAAACATTATTTTTTATTATATTTATATATTTTTTATTTATTATTTATTGTTAATGTAGGTAATTCTAACTAAAATAAAATGTAAACTTATTAAAACTCGACACATTTTTATGAAGCTTCTTTTATACTGGATTTAGGAACTGTAGTCCATTTTACATGGGATTATTCATGTGACATTTCAAATTTTTTACGTTGCACGTTTCTAGCCTACTCTCTCAAGCAGGTTCAAAAAAGAAATAGTAAATTTGTCATAATGTACCAAAAACAAACAATATTTGTTGCAGTTGTAATTTTAAATAAAATTACAGCATATTAAGTAAAAATAAAATGGAATGATAATAAAAATAAATTACTGCAATTGCTTGATGCGTAAAACGGAATATTTATCTATTTACACCATAACATCGATTGATTTTTCACTTTTTAAAACATTATTGAAGACTTTTTTAGATTTTATAAATCGTCTTTTCAATTTACAACGTCGTACCTTGTGTTTTTAGAATGAAAATGTAGAGCACGCTTAAATAAAACAAACAGACTACAGATGATCCGTAGTCCGTCGTCTAGAATATCTCTGCCGCGTGGAATAATAGCATATTACAATGAATAAGTACGGGAACTCCGTACTAAAGTCACAGCGTGGCATGTATGTGTACGCGTCTGTCGCGCGCCATGTTCGGACGCACACATTTGCATAAACTACGGGGATTATAAAACAAAACAAGTAGAACACCTCCGTACAAAATAATACCGTGACTTGTATATGTGTGCAACAGTCGCACGTCGTGTACGGACGCATATGCGTACAAAGGCGCGTTGGGACGACCAGTGTTTTGAAACGCTAGAGCACGCGACGCTTCGACTCTGCGCCAGTGTGAGTTGAGCTTTAGAAATAGGCAAGAAGATGAAATCGCCAAATGGTTTCCTATGTATGTATGTCAATTTCTTTTTCACGCTGTACAGCCTAAACGGCTTGATGGATTTCGCCATATGAGGTATCGTTAGATTCGTCTTGATTGTAGGAGTGTCATAGGTTATAAAATATTCAAAATAGTGAGGAAGGAATATTTTTTATCTTTCCTTGTAAGTCAATGTTCCAGCTAGATATTTTTGCAATCGGGTTTTTGTTTTTTTAAATAATTTTTAGAGATTATGAAAGCATTGAATACTATGGAATCTGGTAAAGCTGCGGGATATGACAGAATTGCTGTTGAAATGCTGAGGGCTGGACAGGGTGTGGTTGCTAGTCAGCTGTACCGCCTTATCAATCTTTGTTGGTGAACAGGAGACTGGGGCAAGGCTGTCATCATATCATTATATAAGGGAAAAGGGTCGCAGCAAGACTGCAAAAATTACCGCGGAATTAGTCTTCACAGCATTGTCGGCACATTATATGCAAAGGTATTGATTGAGGGAGTGATGAAAGAAACGGAAGAAAAAATTAGGGATGTGCAAGCGGGATTTAGAAGAGGAATGGGATGCATGGATCAAGGTCTTCTCTTTGCGAAACATAGCCGAAGAGTTCTTGGCTAAACGACAAAAAGTCTATTACGCTTTTATAGACTTGGAGAAGGCCTACGACAGAGTGTCAAGGAATGAATTGTGGTCGACATTGTCTATGTATGGGGTGGACGGCAATCTAGTTCAGGCACTGAAATCTCACTATGAGGATTCCAGTGCCTGTGTCAGAACAAATGGTGCTCACACTGGCTGGTTTGATATCGAGAAAGGTGGGTGACAGGGATGTGTAGCGTCGCCATGGCTGTTCAATTTATTAATGGACAATTATTTGAAAGCTTTGAAAGAGAGTACGTGTGGGCTGAGAATGAATGGTTTACTCGTTAAGTGCCTCCTATACGCCGACGACCAGGTGATATTAGCGTCGTCGATGGAGGAGTTGCAAGAGATGGTAAATATTATGCATGGTGTTTTGAAAAGGAAAGGAATGAAAATTAATGTGCGAACTTACCATGACCAAATTGAGGCTACCCTAAAGAAGGACCAGGTCAAGAGTACCATTAATCGACGAGTGTGTATGAAAGCATTGATGCATGTTGATGAGGCGAAAGATGTGCGTCAAGACCGTAGCAAGAAGAAAACTGTTGTCTCTGCCTACTCCGATGGGAAAAAGGCGTGAAGTATATGTATGTATGTAAATAATTTTTAGGCGTTCGCTTTATTGGATTTCGGTTTATTTGCCAATCACAGGTCTAGAAAATGCGGGGAAATAACTATTTAAAGTATTATTTTCTATTTTATAAAAATATTTTTTTCCCTTTCGAGTTATTCTATTCTATTTTTAAGTTTCTGGCTTCTCTTGTAGAATTTGGGCAATGTCACGTCAGTCATGGGAGTTACACTTTCGTTTTTTAGATGTTTAATTAATTAACACTGCTCTGTAGTCTATTCCGGCTTCTGGAACAATACAGAACAACACGATATACCATCACCGTTACAAATATTTAAATAAATAAGTTTTATAATTTAAGTTTGTTAGTTATTAATTCTAAGAGGGTATTTGTAAAAAAAATTAACGGAAACTTGAAATTGAAGAAGCGAGGAATAGAAGGTGGAAGACTAACATAAATAGAACACGTTCTGGTAGGGCAGCTGAAAAATATGTGGTCTGGAGTGCCTTCATTAAGGCCGCATTCACAAATTGAGCTATCCCGTATTCTAAGTTTTGCCAGATGAACTGGGGTGCAGGCATGACCAATTCGAAGTCGGCATACTGTAGACGTAACTGTCTTACTGAATCCTTTACGAATAAAGAATGTCGGCGAAATATTTGTCCTTAGTGAGTTTACTTTTGCTCCACTCTGCGCTCCATGAGGAAAACATATCATTGGCAGCTAAAGGCAGGAGGTCATAAGTGTATGTCTTATAATGAGTAAGACAACCTGTTTGAATAGCATTTTTCGCCAACATGTCTGCAGTTTCGTTACCTTGGATTCCACAGGGACCAGGTACCCACGCTAACACAACTTGTAAATTGTTACGATGACAATAGTGTAAAACTTCTTTAATCTTTAAGAAAGTGTGGTATTTTGTTTTAGCAACAAATTAGCTTGACAAAATAGCCTGCAAACTGCTTCTTGGAGTCTGAAAAAATTATGCTTTTGTTCAATTTGTGAGATTCAATATAACTGAGGGCTTCGAGGAGGGCTGTAGATTCACCTGTGCATTTTGATGCTTGAGGTGGACATTTACAATTCAAAATTATTCCGAACTTAGACATCCATACAGCCGCACCCACACAACCATCAGCAGCCGGCTTAGAAGCGTCTGTGTAAATATTCAACCAGCCTTGCCAGTCCTTAGTTAGGGTTATATTAAACTGCCTGTCTGCCGCAGGAAAATCTTTGTAAATATCAAAATCCAAAATTGTTTTAGGTTTATATATTATTGCGTCATAGGAACAAGAAAAAAGGGGATTTTTATCAGTTTGGAAGATAGGAGAATTAATATTAATAAATTTT